ATTACCTCTTTATTATATAGGATAATATTGTAATAAGTATGTACGGGGCCAGGTGGGTACTGGAAAAATTGGGGGGAACACTTTGTAAAATATATGATTGTCTAAACCAGTGGTTCTCAACCTTCTGGCCCTTTAAATACAGTTCCTCATGTTGTGACCCAACCATAAAATTATTTTCGTTGCTACTTCATAACTGTCATATTACCTCTTTATTATATAGGATAATATTGTAATAAGTATGTACGGGGCCAGGTGGGTACTGGAAAAATTGGGGGGAACACTTTGTAAAATATATGATTGTCTAAACCAGTGGTTCTCAACCTTCTGGCCCTTTAAATACAGTTCCTCATGTTGTGACCCAACCATAAAATTATTTTCGTTGCTACTTCATAACTGTAATGTTGCTACTATTATGAATCGTAATGTAAATATCTGATATGCAGGATGGTCTTAGGCGACCCCTGTGAAAGGATTGTTCGACTGCCAAAGGGGTCGCAACTCACAGTTTGAATACCGCTGATCTAAACACTATGCTGTACATCTGAAACTGACACGAATAAAAAAACTTGCAAAAAAATTAATAAGACACAAAGAACAGAAAAATAATTAAAACATGAGAAGGAAAGTTGAAAGAAAATGGGGTATCAGGAAACTTTTGGTCTGTTTGTAGGCTCTGGAACATTTCAGCTAGCTATGTGTTTTTGAAGAGGTCATAACCTTTCTGGGTCTCATATCTTTATCTGTAAAATAAAGAGGTTGAGGGGGGAAAAAAAAAAAGAAAAAAAGAAACTTGCAAACTAAGAACACATGGCTAAACTGGGGTCATAGTGCCTCAACATTACCCAAAATCAAAGTGCTACAATGTGATAGAGCTGAGTGGTGGGAATTTTGTTATTTCCTTATACTCCTCTGTAATTTGAAATTTTCATAAATAGCATACATACACACACACCTTTACTTTTTAAAAAATTGACTTGAGAGAGAGAGAGAAACATAGATGTGAGAAACATCATTCTGCAGCTCTTGCACATTCCCAACCAGGTATTGAACCTATGTATGTGCCCTGACCAAGAATAGAACCTGCCACCACCTTTTGGTGTATGGGACAATGTAGGGAACGGCTCTAGGGTCAAATCTCAGGCTGACCTGTGGCAGGGCCACAAGCAAGTCCCAGCCTGGAGGGCAGAACTCTCCTAGTGTAATTAAGCCTGACCTTGTAGCCCTCCCTAATTCCTTCCTAAGTAGCTAATGGGCTGTGGGAGGTGCAGCAAGTGTTGCCAAAAGAAGCACATTTGTATATATGTAAATCTACCCTTGTTGTGTTTTTTTTTTAATTAAAATCTTTATTGTTCAGATTATTACAGTTGTTCCTCTTTTTTCCCCCCATAGCTCCCCTCCACCCGGTTCCCACCCCACCCTCTGTCCTTCTCCCTCCCCCTTCACTGTCCTCATCTATAGATGTACAATTTTTGTCCAGTCTCTTCCCGCACCCCCCCCACCCCTTTCTCCCAGAGAATTGTCAGTCTAAGCCGAAACCGGTTTGGCTCAGTGGATAGAGCGTCGGCCTGCGGACTGAAAGGTCCCAGGTTCGATTCCG